CAAGGAGGTTCACTATGCGTTGGTTACCCCCGCCTACCCTTTTCACTTGGCAAAAAAAAGGAAGGTTGGATGCAGGTTTCCTTGCCCTTCTGCATACAAATTTATCTAATTACTTAATTCTCTATATATATGCATCCATGTCATTTCACTGACGAGCTTCTCGGCTACAAAGATACCAGCCATGAATGAACATTCAAGGTCTAACTCATAAGCATATATGTGCCGTAAATCAAAAAACACAATGACTAACAACTAAAAAGAGCGTACTTAGTGCACGAAGCTCCCACATATGTGGGGCCTAGGGAAAGGTTGATGTACGCAGCCTTACCCCCACAAGCGGAGAGACTGTTTCCGCAACTCAAACCCGTGACCATTAGGTCACAATGACTAACAACTACGACATGAAAATTCAGAGGTGGCAAGGACTTCCTAAGAATTATTTGAAGTCGGATTAAATGTTAATGAAAGTACCTGGGAGTGGCTCTACAATGCTTCGGCTATGATACAGAGTATCTCCAACACGAGCCTCTTTTGTTGAACGCATGCCACTCACAATATATCCCACTTGTCCAGTTAAAAGAATGCCAGTAGGTGTGAGTTCAGGATGCATGAATCCAACATCAGAAACTTCATAAGCCTGACCAGTTCCTGCAGATGAAATTTTATCTCCCTTGCGCAAAGTACCGTCAACAACTGCCACATGGCATATCACTCCCTTGTATTCATCATAATAAGAATCCAACAAAAGCATACGCAAAGATGAATTACAGTTCCCTGGAGGAGGAGGTATTCGCTCTATGACAGTAGGAAGGACCTGCTCCAGACCTTGACCCGTCTTGGCAGATGTCAAAAGACAATCACTTGGGTCAAGGTCAAACATGGATTTTAGCTGAGCTTTAACACGATCTGGATCAGCAGTTGGCTGGTCAATTTTGTTTATGACTGGGATTATTGTCAGGTTTGATTCAAAAGCAAGATAAAAGTTAGCAACAGTTTGTGCCTGGACACCTTGGGCAGCATCAACAACCAAAAGGGCACCTTGACAAGCTGCTAAGGATCTCGACACTTCATAGCTGAAATCCACATGACCAGGGGTGTCGATTAAGTTCAGCAAAAAATTCCCTGATTCTTGTGAATCAATAACATCGGCACCCCGAAACTTGTGCATATGGAACATAGTTGCTGTCTGGGCTTTGACAGTGATTCCCCTTTCTCTCTCTACCTAAGAAAAATCCAACCTCTGTTACATAAAGATGACATAAACAAGGAGTACAAAAATAAAAGGAAATAAAGAAGAAAATAGGGAAAAAATAATAGTTTTTCTCCAGCAAAATACAAATTTCAAGTAGAACCTTTAGAGGCCATTACCTCAAATAAAATTCAGTTTCTATTTTAATACAAGAGATTTTTGATTTTCAGGATAATAACCACAAAATGGAAAGACTAGGTCGCGTTTCCACTCTCACATCCAAATAAATATAATAATGCTCGTTATTTAGGACAGGAACAATTGATATATATATATATAGTTTTCCAATTTCAATGATCAAAATGGACCCATAAGACAGGAGAAGTAAAAGTGCATTTTGAAAGTTTCGAAGTAAGCAGTGATTGCATTGAGCCAGTTTCCCTGAAATATCAGAACCCCCACCCAAAAGTCAAGAGGTGCAATTCGATCAATGACCAGTCCACTGTTTCATTTGGTTCAAATGTCATACAAAAGGCAATAACCAAATACGTTTATTCTCTTAGGCCCTTACCCCACTTAGAGCATCCACAATGGATGTGTTAGTGGAGTGTCAGTGGCCAAATTTTGGCCAGCTAAAAACATTATTTTGTGCTGCAATGGAACTGCTAACTTGTTTTTTAGTGTCAACTGTTAGTGTTGTGTGTTAACTTGTGTGTTAACTGTGACTAGCATTTTACCCAGCGAGAGAGAGAGGAGGGGGACGGCACCCGGATGTCCGGACCCTTCAAGTAAAAAAAAAAAAAAAAATTTATAGTTGACCGGTTGACCTGGCCGGACATCCAGCCATCTTCCTCAAAAGCTTGCTGCCTTCATTTTCCTGAATAAGAAGCTGACAAACAAGGAAAGAAAAGAAAAGTGTGTCCATTGATAAATAAGCGAAAGTGTGTTAAAGAAAACTGTGTCCATTGATAAGCAAAAGTGTTAAAGAACTGTGCCCATTTATTTTATCCAAGAGCTGTATCCATTTTCCTGGATAAAAAAGCTTGCTGCCTTTATTGGCCATCTTCCTCAAAAGCTTGCTGCCTTCCATGGAACTTATTTATTTATTTATTTATTTTATTATATATATATATATATTCTTAACACACATCTTAACACACACCTTAACACATCCATTGTACCACCACTCACCCTCTAAAATTAACAAACTCTTGACACACCTTAACATACATTTTTGAGCCCCACTTTTGTCACTTTTTCTCATATAACACACCCTTTAACACACTTTTTTAGCTATCCCACTGTGCATGCTCTTAGAGCGGTTTCTAGTTAGTTACTAGAACTAAGCCTCAATAGTACACCAGAGAGGTAGTTAATAGATTCCCTTAAGCTTGTTCATTTCAATATAATTCCCACAAAGTAAAAGAACACATAGATTACAAACTTGAAGACAGGTCTCACACTAGCTAATAAAGCAACATATATTCAATTCAATCATCAATTACAAACTAAAGAAGTGATAATAGTTGCAAACTCCTCTTAATCAACAATTAAAACACACCCACTATCACAGAGCAATTATGCTAGAAAAGGCATCAATTTCAAACCCATATAGTAAAACAGAATAGTCATCAAATGTACTACTCAAGGAAACAATAATTAGATAAAAAAATTTAAAAAATAAAAATAAATAAAAATTACATATACAACAACAACAACAACAACAACAATAATACTCTCTCCGTTCCAAAATAATAGTCCTTATAGTCCTTTCGAATTCAACTTTTTTTAGAAGTACAAAATTTAAAAAAAATAATTTTTCAAAATTACCGTTGATAGTAATGTTCTGAAAATATCAATGTTATCATGCTACCTTTTATATTGGTAATGAATTTAAAAGAAAGGCAAAATGAAAATTTTATTTTTTGAAAGGGACTAATATTTTGGGATAGAATAATGGACTAATATTTTAAGATGGAGGGAGTAATAATCATAAAAATCTGAATACCTGCAACTTATCTAGGTACTGAGGCTGACCATGGCCTCTCTTTATGGTCCCGGTGAGCTCCAAAAGGCGGTCGGCGAGTGTGGACTTGCCGTGATCAACATGGGCAATAATAGAAAAATTTCGAATTCTTTCAGGAGGGTACTGGGTTAAATCTATGGAATTGGCATTGTCTCTGCTATTTGGGCGAGAATGAGAACAGAATCCATGGTGATTCTTCCAACTCCAACCAAATTGGGTCCAACTGAGTCTACTCTCAATCGAGTTAGCAGCTCTAGATGTAGAAGAAGATAATGGGTTAGATTTCGAGGAGGCGTATAATAATAAAGACGATAACTTTGGTGATCTGAAGAAGGTCTTTGGAGCTTTCATGAAACAACTCATTTGAAGGTTTACGATGAAAACCTAAAACTGGTAAAGAGATTTTAGGGCTTTTATTGTGCTGCGCGGCAAAAAGACGCATGCAATTGAAGTTTCTTTCTAGGGAGGGAGGAAGGAAGTCGTTTTGGGTGTTGTATTGTTTGTTAGGGCTTGTTTGGTTCCGTTCGCAAAAGCAAAACTCTACTCCGTAGGTGTTTGATATGCACTAAAAATGTATATATATATATATATATATTTTTGTATACATATATTTATTTGGACTAAATCAATCAATATATTTTATTTATTTTTCTATCCATTTTTTCTATTTTTTACACATTTTTTTTATAAAAAATTAAAAACTACACTTATTTAGAGCATCTCAAACCACCCATCAATTTAATAGATATTAACATTTTCAGGTAAAATTTGAAAGAAAAAATAAATAAATTTATAGGGACACAATATTACTGATTTTCTAAAAATAAAAAACTACGATTATTAAAAAATAAAAACACAAATACTTGGGACCCAAAAAATTAGAAAAATATTTAAAGAAATATATTGAATTGTTGAAATTGTCTCATTTTAGACTCTTTCACTTTTTTTAATAAAATTTTGTATAATTTTTTTGAAACGAAAGATATATTTATAAATGTGAAATAGAGAGCTAACGGATAATTAAACGTTATCAACCAAATTATTATAAATTTATTTAGAAGAGTTTAATATAATTATATTAAAATTATAAAATTAATTGTAATTGATTCATTATTTCAGAAAAATCAGTCAGCAATTAAATTAAACCTTAATAAAGGATGTGGCAACTCATTGACCAGCGCATGAATAAAATATGAAAAGAAAAATATTATCCAAAAAAAATATTTTTTTAGTCAGAATTATTTATTTATTTTTTTTGTAATTTTTTTTAATTAAGCTGACCTTGATATATGACAAATACTTGGCACATAACTCTCTTATAAATAAGACTTGTATGCACATAATCAAAACATTTGTTAACCAATGCAGAAAGCTCAACTCCCAACTGAAATGACCGATTAACCTTTCAATCGTGTATTAAAAGAACCAGTAATGCTACACGCACAGGACCAGACACAAACTATTTCCTTGGATGACCCGCCAAAACTTGTCGATCACGACTGTCATGATGTCGATTGCAGCCGATCTCTAGATGCACAGTTTTTATGTTAGGATCTGTGTTCGATCGTTTGTGCACCTAAACTTTTGTAAAAGAACTGTGTTTTAGGTAGATCGTACTTTTTTTTTAAGTTCTTGATTTAAGCTAATCCTGTGACTCCCGTGGCCCTCTCTTCAGTATAAAAAGCTGCACACTCCAATCATATTTAACTCATTCCAACAAGTAAATCATGGATCATGTCACCTGTGTAACACCATGAGCAAACAGTCAAGCACAATCACTGGATCTGTCTTCAAACCAACCATTAACACCAAGAAAAAAAACATCAAGGGGATAACATGTAGCAACCCAGCCTTCACCAATGGCCTTCAAGCCTACCATTCTCCTACCATCTAAAACTTGTAGTTAAGTAAACAAGAACTGCAAAATTCCAAAATCAAATATCACATACTTTGTCAAAGCACAAAGATACAGAAAACAAGACGTCTCTAGAGACCGATTTGTTGACAAACTGGATAAGAAGTTCCCCCCAAGTCATATCAGTCTAGGAAAACTGAACAAAAGAGACTATCTTTCAGATTTTGTGGCACCTAGACAAATAATATTTTCCACATTTCTTCTTCATCGTCATTGTCGTCGTCATCATCAAAGTCAAAATTTCTTTCAGACATAATATAATCTAAAAAGGCTTTTGCTTTGTTACTCCATTGTTTCAGCTCTTTGAGGCTTGCTTCTCCTTAGACTTCTGGATCTTCAGAACCTTCTTCACAATCTTTTGCTCTTCAACCAAGAAAGCTCGGATGATCCTACCACAACCACAAAAGGGAAAATATTAGAAGGAAAAAAAAAAAAAGAAACATACTTTACCCAATTGCTTTCACTTAACAAAACATTTGTTAACAACTGAAAATTATAGAATCCCGTTAATTGAGTACAGCAACTTACCTCTCCCTGACAGCTCCACCAGACAATACACCGCCATAGGCACGATTAACTGTTCGGCGGTTCCTGGACAATCTAGACCTCTTGTATTCAGCAGGTCTCAAGTGAGGAAGCTGCACACAAATGAATTTGGGAACAGAATTAATCCTATTTCTCTTAAAAAAAAATTATGATGTTGCCGAAGACAGGTCCGTTCACTTAAGAACTTGCAAAAAAAAAAAAAGAAACATACTTTACCCAATTGCTTTCACTTAACAAAACATTTGTTAACAACTGAAAATTATAGAATCCCGTTAATTGAGTACAGCAACTTACCTCCCCCTGACAGCTCCACCAGACAATACACCGCCATAGGCACGATTAACTGTTCGGCGGTTCCTGGACAATCTAGACCTCTCGTATTCAGCAGGTCTCAAGTGAGGAAGCTGCACACAAATGAAATTTGGGAACAGAATTAATCCTATTTCTCTTAAAAAAAAATTATGATGTTGCTGAAGACAGGTCCGTTCACTTAAGAACTTGCATAGCTGGTTTCAAATAGCAATTTAACCCATAATTCAATACACAGATTATTGAAACATCATAGAGTCATAAAGTAAAGAAGCTCTTCATATGAAAGAAACTAAATCAGATCGTATATAATATTATTAAAAAGACAAAAGTTAACCACCACCACAACAACATTAAACATGCCCCTCACTCTCTCTTCCCAACAGCTAAAAGAGAGGAGGGGGGAGGGGGGAAAAAAAAGAAAAGAACAAGCAAAGCATATGCAAGTGAAGTGTTCACAAGAAATTAATGGAGCAGATGTTAAAAAACACTACCAAACAATCTAAAATAAATGCCAGTCAGACGAGACGAGCTGCATCATGCAATAAACCTCAAAATCCTCCAGCTTAAACCAAAAACATACAGAAAGTGATATATGGAAGCTAAGACCAAAGGCCGATGCACAATTACATTTTTAACTAGGAAAACCACTAATAGTTACAGCAGGCATGGCAACATAAGTCCGAGTACCAGCAAGGATTCTGGTAAATTAGGCAAGACTATTTTGGAGGTAAAGGTTGGTCTTTACCAGAACTAACGATTTTCTTAAACACGTGTAAGAAATCCCTAGCATCAGCTTATTTCTCAAAAGCAGTAGAGACATCTTAGAAAATGAGGCTTCTTTATTTATTTTATTTTTTTAATGAATGTCACCAAAAATTTTGGGGCCTTAAAGACTTTTTTACTTCACGTAAGGCAATATTTTGTCATATAATCCCTTAAGTGGTAGAAACCTGAACCTCTGAACAACAGTCTAGCTCACTGGATATGTGGCATATGATATCATACATAACATGGCCTTACATTTCCGAGCCTGTCTATACATACATTGCAGCCAAGCCCCACCTCAAAATCATAATTTCATTCCAATAATTAATCACTGAGAGGATAGGGATCCACCTCAAGCCTTGCTTCAAAGTTCAAAACATGAGAAGGCAAGGAAACATAATAGGATGCTTTAGTCCATCAGATATTAACTGAATTCTCAAAACAAAAAACTAAATCTTCAAAAGCTTTCCCAAACAAGAAAATGCCATTAAAATTAATATACTAACAGAATAATAAAAATTGAGCAAGAAAATATTTTGTATTCTGATGCATTAAAAATGAAATCCAATATAATGAAATTGGCTCACCAAATAAATTTGCAATATTCCCTGTTGTTGAACAGAACAAATTCAACATGTGTATAGATGCAGACATTGCTCCCTTCATACGTTAAAAGCCAGCAATCAACCCCCATAGTCTCATGTAAAGTTCTCAATAAGCAACTAAAGTGCATCAATAGTAGCATAAATATATTCATTGCATTGCTATTTTCCATAACTTTACTTCAAGCATACAAAATACAAGTCTTATACAATCATGTCTAACAATTTATTCATTCACCTTCTTAGAGAACAATAGTTCTTCATTATACAAAAATCCTTACTAAATTTGAATGGGACATTTAGAATCCAACCAGAAACCGCAATGTCAGTTTGTGGCTTTGTTGCAAAAGCCTCCCACATTAAGTAAGGAACTTGCTTCAAACAACAACTTTTTAATTTCCCATTTTCATGATGAACTAAATGAAATCACAGTTCTAAGAAATAAAAGTTCCACGGGATATATTTTTACAAATAAAAAGAAAAGGAGGCGAGGGGAAGAAAGAAAAAGTTCTTAGTAAAATTAAATACATTAAGAATCCTTAAGAATATACAAAAAAAACACCATTATATGAAATAATGAATGTTAAATTTAGTTTCATTAAAGCAATAGCTTGCTGTCTGGCATAGCACCAAGCTTAAAACCTCCAAGCGCTAAAAATTCCACCTAGCTATGCTCCTAAACCACCTCTCTACCCATTTCATGTAAGAATTCATCAAGAGAATCTCTAAGGGCCTGTTTGATTGGTTGGAGTAATAGCGATGGGATTAATAATCTATGGGATTAACTATTGGATTGATTGTCCAACTCAATTAGTAGGACAAATATGTATGGGATTATTAATACCTATCTCCATATGGTATTGAATATCCCACAATTTTGTGGGATTAGAAGTCCTACGTATGACTAAGCCAACCATCATTTATGCCATCCAAACGCAAGAATGTGTCACTGGATTAACAATCCAATCTTGTGCTCTAATACTGGAATCAAACAGGCCCTAAGGTCATGTTTGATTCACAACACTAATAGTGAAGTATTAATAATCCCATCAAATTAGTGTGGTATTAACTATCCCATCCCTACCCCATTACTAATAATCCTACAAATTTGTTGGATTAATTATCCATTGGATTAATAATCCTAAACCAAAATGTCAAAACAAACATAGGATGATTGGGCCCACGGATTAATAATCCTAATCCCATGCTTTAATCCTTCCAATCAAACATGCCATAAATGTACTCCCTTCATTTGCAACTGAATCCTGTAGTTGCCATAATGGTTGGTAGCAGAGCTTGAACCAATAGTTAAAAATGGATTAACTAGTGGAATATGCTTGAACCATCCAAATAATGGTCCGATAAACTACCCATTAAGGATAATTGATGTAAAATTTTCTATAATTTTAATTAGTCAAGAACAAACACACACACACACACAAAAAAAAAACTGAATACTATGAAAATATTATTTAAAATTATACATCACATAGCACTAACCAATGCACACTTACAGCAATGCAAGCAAGCCCAATTAGTTCACATTGTGAATACCTGGAGAAAAACCCGACAGCTGATAAATATAATAATGAATCTGGAATATGCTCTTCTTCAGCGACTTGAAGTCAAACTAGTATTTTCATATTGATGCACAATTACAAAATGAACCAGTATAAGAAAAGATATGCAATAATGTGACATCTCTTTTATTCAAAGCAACATAAATACATTTATGAGTAAACAAAACAAAACACCCCATTTTTTTAAAAAAAAAAGACAAATTACATATACCTCCCTCGAGATTTGACTAAATTACAGGTAGCCCTGAGATTTCGGAAATTACATCCCGCCCTGAGGTTTGTATTTTCATAATAATTTGTCCATTGAGATTTATATTTCATAACAAATTACCCCCTAATTTGTTACGCAAATATAGCATTCAAGGGAAAATTTATAATTTCTCAAACCTTAGGGATATTTGTAATTTATCCAAACCTCAAGGGGTATATGTAATTTGTCCTAAAAAAAAAAGACATAATAATACCCCTTGGATTCGCTTTCCAGTAACAGGACACTTGGGTCCGCTGGCTCTCTTCTTTGTGCTCTGATACACCAACCTCCCTCCTAAATTCATACACATTTTTAACTCAAATGAGTAATCAAACACCCACAAATGTGCACTACATAATCAACACAAAACAGCACATCGATCAGATAAAAATAAATAATAATAATAAAAAAAAAGTATTATGGATCGGTCACAAAACAAAAACACAAAAAAATAAAATAAAAACCAGAGTTATGGATCGGTGGATTGCAATATTAAGTGCACTAAAAAAGAGGGGTTTTGGTGAAGAATACCAGGGGTTTTGACGGCCCTGTTCTGGTTGGATTTGGTGGCGTAACTATGGCGTTTGCGATACGTGAGTCTCTGAACCATCTTTCTTTTCACTCTTTGCTTTTTCAGCTCCCCTGGAGAGTGTAAAAAGATAAGGACTAAAACAAAAGAGTCCACCAAATCGGAAAGAAAGTATATATATATATATAGAAAAATAGCTTGTAGCTCGAAAAGTGAAGGCTCCATTGGACCGAATTACAAAACGTTGTTTTGCTATTTTTTTTAAGGAAAATGTCTCGTAACTTAAATTTTGTAACTCAAAAGTGGCTCAAATGGCCAAAACGACATCGTTTTGGCCATTTTTATGTTGTTTTGTACTCAAAACGACGTCGTTTTGGCCATTTGAGCCACTTTTGAGCCACAAAATTTGAGCTACGTAGCATTGTCATTTTTTTTTTCTTATTTTTTCTCTTTTACATCTGAAACAGGAGGAGGGAGGAAGAGAGAGAGTGAGAGAAAGCGAGAGAAGAGAGAAGAAAGAAGAAATAGAAGGAGGGCGAACAAAGAGAGAGTAAGAAAGTTGGCAACGGTGCGAGACGGTGATGGGCGACGGTGCGATGATGTAAATTTGTGTTTGGTTTTTTTTTTTTTTATTTTGATTTTGAAAATATGTGTTTGATGATGATGTTGTGTGTTGTGGTAGATCTGTGTCTGGTTTTTTTTTTTTTTTAATTTTGATTTCAAAAATCTGTGTTTGATGATGATGATGATGATGTTGTGTGTTGTTGTGGTTATTGTTGATGATGATCTATGATTGGTTCGCTGCTCCATCTCTTCTTCTTATTTCTTATTCCTCTCTGTTCTAACAGAGACAAGAAGAAAAAATAAAAAATAAATAAATCCAAAACGATCTCGTTTTGGATTCGAGCCATTTGGAGGCTTAATTTATTCGAGCTACAAAGCGGAATTGATGTATATACATATATATGAGAAAAGAGCGGTAACTCGAATATCGTGGCTCGAAAATGGCCCGAATTTCTCTTCTTCTTTTTTTTATTTCAGAGAAAGAGAGAAGCAAGAGAAAAAGAAGAGGAAGAGGGGAGAAGAAAACAAAGAGAGGGGGCCATGGACGGAGATCACCACAACCCGCCATGGACGGAGATCGCGAACCACTCAAACCCAACCCACCGCCATGGGCGGATGATTTTTTTGATTCAGTGGGCTGATTTTGGATTTAGTTTTGATTTTTGATTTTGATTCTGTGGGTTTGATTTTGTTTTGATTTTGATTTTGATTTTGTTTTGATTTTAATTTTGATTTTGTTTTGATTTTGATTTTGATTTTAATTTTGATTTTGTTGTTGATGATGGATGTTGTTGTTGATGAGATGCTGTGTTGTTGTTGTTGCTAATGAGATGCTGTGTTGATGAAGAGTTTTTGTTGATGATGATGCTCTATTCTTCTCCTCTCCCTACTCTGTTCTTTTCTTTGTTTTTTTTTTTTTTTTTTTGACGAATCTGTTCTTCCAAATCTTTTCTTTGATAATTCGTAAAAAAACAGTAAACAGATTCGTTACTGTTTTTTAGATAGATGAAGAGATCAGTGGGCATCATTTTCAGAGCCAAAAAAAAAGAGGGTGCCAAAACGATCGTTTTGGCACCTCGAGCCATTCGGGGCTGGGTAAATTCGAGTTACGAATCGTGGTTGCATATATATATATATATATATAAAAGGACCGGACTGTTGTCTCCAGTCCAGATCTGTATAGTCCGATTTAACTCGGCCTATTGAGTTTATTTTGGATTTTTTTAATAATAAATCATTTATATTTTAAGATTTGTCGAGTTATTATTTTTATAAAAAATCACATCAATCGGATAACAGATATTAGGATCACTTTTGTGTGAAAAAAATGAACGGTCAGAAAATTAACGGTTTATAAAAAAATGATCCGAATACATAGTATCCTTTATCTGATTGATGTGATTTTTTACAAGAATAATATATTCAACAAACCTTAAAATGTGAACGGTTCGAATTATTAAAAAGAAGCCCAAAAGTGAGCCCAAAAGTAAACCCAATGAGCCGGACTAGACCCTCTAGTTCAGATGATGGACTGGAGGCAAGCCCAGCCATATAGGGGTGAGCATGGTCCGAATTGGATCGGATTAGAGTAAAACCAGGACCAATCCGTTATCTACGGATCCTAAAAAATTGGAACCAATCAAATCCGTTTAAATCGTGGAACCAATCCGAACCAATCCATTTAAACACGGATATGATCGGTTTAGGACCACGGATTTACATAATTAAATAACAAAAAATATATGTATAACACTTTAATTTCATAAAAATATAAATATAAAATCATATTAGTTTCACAATAGCAACATGTTTTTTCGTAATAGGGACAAATTGTTCAAGAATTTAAAAAACCATAAGAAAATTAGTTCCACCATAAGTATTTAGATCATTACAAATAAACACTAAAAACTAGCAAACAAAAGTAATAAAAGAAGATATTATGCAAGTTTAGGTTTGGATTTAAGTTTTATATGAAATAAGAGAAGATACTATGCATGAGGGTGTATAATAAAAATATAGACTATTTTTATACGGTCCGGATCGGTTCCAATCCGGAACCGTGGGGTTCAATCCGGAACCAATCCGTGAACTATGGATTTTTAATTTTTCAATCCGGAACCGAACCACGGATTCAAAAAATCAATCCAAACCTACTGGATTGGACTGGACTGGATCGGATTACGGATTTTACGAATTTCTTGCTCAGCCCTACAGCCATATATATATATATGGGCTTTCGAAGTCTTTCAAACCCTAGATGATCTTTCATTACGACGCCAAATCCAAACCTAGGCCAACCTAAGCCCCATTTGAATTAGGCCTATTTGCCGTCTGAGCTTGGACCGAGTAAAAGGTTATGAAGTCACTTAAAGCATCTCCAATGACAAATGCTATAATAGCATTGTCACTGTCAAATTATGGAAATAAATAATAGAAAATTGATGAAAAATAACAATGATGCTCCAATGGTTCAACTGTTATTTTTGTCATTTTGGCATAGAAACTGATGTGGTCAAATGATCAACTTGACGTTGAGTCGATCGTCCAAACACACCAGTTTTTGTGTTTCTTCTGTAAAAATGGCAGACAAGAAGGAGAGATGTTTTGCTGAGAGAGAGGAGGAAAGAAGAGAGGTGTTTTCTGATAATTTTGGACAAACAACAACTGTTGAAACTTGTGTCAAATTTGACACAAACTTTGACATTTCTCAAATATAACAGCTGCTATTTTTTGCCATTAGAGCATACGGTTCTACTAAAACTATCAAATTATGACAATAACACTAATGGCAAATTATTTGAACTGTTCTTAGCTCGCCGCTGTAGACACCCCATTTTTGACCGACCTTAAGACTCAGACATCATCGATTGAGCGCTCGGTGATAGTGCATGTTGTGCTCGTTCGAGTTTCCAGAGTTTTCGGCTGAGTGCCTTGCCTCCGAGCCTCTGAACTCTTTGTGTTGTGGCTCGGTTTGTGGACCAAGCCTTGTTTCCCTTCCCTAAAGGGAAGGGGTGGTCTGTAGACCACTCTTTTGTGGTCGTAGACCACTTTTCGCTCTTGGAGACCGGTTTCCGGTTTTCGGTTTTCGATTTTCAGAGCCTTCGGGCGCGCGCCTTGTCTCGGGACCGCTTAACGTCCTCCGTTTGGCGTGGTTTTTGAACCACACCTTGTTTCCTTTGCCTAGAGGGACACTGTGGTCCGGGAGACCACTTTTGTGGTCGTAGACCACTCTTGGTGCTGGTAGACTAGTTTTCGAGGCTTCTGGCTACGCGCCTTGCCTCCCAAACTTTCGTCTTGCATCCTTTTTGGTTTGTTTTTGGTACAAACCTTGTTTTCCTTGTTTGGAAGGTGGTGTAAGGGTGGGAGACCAGTTCTTCCCCTTGGAGACCACTTTTCTTCCCGCCAGCCAGTTTTCTGGTCAGCCAATTGGTTTTCTTGGTCTTTGGGCCCCATTTTCTGGTCGGCCACCACACCACCACCTTGGTTTCATGTTGCAAACCACCTCTCCCCTGTGGCTGACCACTTTTTGCCCTGGCCGACCACTTCCACTGGTTGGCCGACCAGTAGAAGTGGCTAGCCGATCACTTCAAGTGGTCGGCAGCTTTCTAACTCATTCCTGGATATATTTTATATCCGGCTGTCACAGCTGAAAGGCACTAAAACCATCCTCCATACACGTGTATGGAGGGATGACCTTAGACCCTAAGCTTGTCCAACAAGCTTACACTTTTGTTCTCTATAAGAGAGAACCTCACCCCTCCTCCTCCAAGGTCAGAATTTTGTGGCTTGAGCTATAGATACACATATATCTCTATATATCTCTCTTGGTCTCATTTTTGTGCCTTAAAGTGCTTATTCTTCATACTTTAACACATAAACACACACTCAAACACTATCATTTTGTTGCTGAGGCTCTTAGAAGCTGATTTTTGTGTTTTTGGTTTGGTTTGAGCTCAAAAAAGTTCCTGGAGTTGTAGTTTTGAACGTGTTCTTCAAGGGTGAGTCAACTAGCCTTTAAAACCTTGTTTTGGTTTAAGCTTTTGGACCTTTTTGCATGCTGATTTAAGCTTACCTTTCTACTGTAAAAAGTCCTGATTTTGCATACTTAACCTGTTTGTTTAAGGTCTCTTTTGTGTTAGGGGTAGTCTACCCCTTCTTAGGCCTTGTTTGGCCTTGTTCTTGTGCTATCTTTTTAAGCTATCGGGATCACCTTGTTTTGGCCTTCTCACCACTGAAACTCAGAGGAATTTCAGTGGTGGAAATGGTGTTTTAAGGTCCCAAATGGGAGAGGGTCATCCCCCCTCCTTGTGTTCTTGAATGCTTGCTTCATATGCCTCATGTTTGAGCATGTTTGTTAAGCTTATGTTGGCCATATCTTAGCATATATTTGGGGTTATTTTGACATGGCATACCACTGTTTTGGCTTGGTTTTGTCATCCCTTGTATGCCTTATACACTTGTAGTGTATTTCTCACAAACTACTCTTGTATGTTTCATGAAGTAGCATGTCTTTCTAGCTTGTTTTGAGTCCATTTCAGCATGTTCTTGGTGTTGTTTTCCCATAATATACCTCTGTTAAGGTTTGATTTGAT